CACCTTCACACACACTGTGTACAGTGCCTTTCCATCTGCGTCCTTGAATATCCGTAGACTCGGAGGGGAGAAGGTCAGCAAGGTGCCCCTGTTCTCTTGCCAACCTCCATCGGCAGCGGTCACTCTCAGTGAGGGGAACTCTGGAGCAGCATCCCTTTGTGGCAGTTCTAGGAGCTCCTGCACCTGCTGGCCTTGCGGCACCTCACTCAGGAACTGTCCAAGCAGTCTGTGTGTGTTGATGCCCGTTTGCTGAGCCAAAAGCTGTGCTGTTTTCCAATCTGTGCCATCTGAGTTTCGGAAATGGCCTATTTTGCAGACGCCGGCATTCAGGAAACTCCTCATCAATGTGGTGGAGCGCACAGAGCGAAGAGGAATCAGTTGGTCATGGAAAATCGGCTCTTCCCATACCCTTGCTGTCGGTTCTATGCCCTCCTCACACGTAGCCTGCAGCAACTTCCATGCTTTCAGTACTGATGCGTAGAAGTCCTCCAAGCCTGAGAGATCCAGCTTGTCAGCATTGAGGAGGAAGAGGTGCCGGTCAAGTCCCATGCTTCCAGCTTTCCTGAGCAGTATGTGCGCAGTTTCCTTCCAGCACAGGTCCGAGTGGTAGAGCAGCCGCTGTGCAGCCTTGAGCCTAAAGGCTGCCACTCTGCTCTCCAGATCGATGAGGACTTGCCCTCCCTCATGGGTAGGCAAGTACAGAACTGCTGCCTTTAGCCAGTGCTGACCCGACCAGAAAAAGGCCACCAGCCTCCTCTGGATCTCAGCTAACAGGCCAGCAGGTGCGTTGAGCACGGCCAGTCTGTGCCACAGGGTGGATGCCGCCAAGTTGTTGATTATTAGCACCCGTCCTCTATAAGACACCTGTGACAGCAGCCACTTCCATCTCGCTAGCCTCTCCGATATTCGTGTCAAGGCACAGTCCCAGTTCATCCTCACCACTTCTGCAGAGCCTAGATGAATTCCCAGCACTTTGAGACCTGTTTTGCTCCACTGTAAACCCCCCGGCAGCTCTGGGGGCCCAGTGCTACTCCAGGGTCCACAAAACAGGGTTCCACTTTTACCCCATTTCACCTTGGCAGATGAGGCGGCGCTGTATGTGTGTAGACAGTCCTCCAGCTCATGAACATCCACTCTGTTGCTCACAAACACAGAGACGTCATCTGCACAGGCTGATACAGAGATGTTTGTCATCCCCTGCATGCCCACCCCCTTCACTTTTTTCCGTATTAAAGCCTGCAAAGGCTCAATGGCAAGGGAAAAGAGTTGGCCCGACATTGCACATCCTTGTCGGACCCCTCTCCCCAGCGTGATTGGTCTGGCCAGTCCCCCTCCAACTTTTACTAGGCACGAGGCATCTGTGTACAGCAGTTTCACATAATTAATAAAATTCTCTCCAAAACCAAACCTCAATAAAATATTAAAAAGATAAGCATGGTCAACACGATCAAAGGCTTTTTCCTGGTCCAAAGAGATCAGGCCAAAGTCAACTGGCAGGCTGTTTGGCAACGGCATGTCTCTTATTAAAAAAATATTATCCAGTATTGAGCGACCAGGAATGCAATAGGCTTGGTCTCTGTGTATAATAGTGTCCAGCATGCCTTTCAGCCTATTGGCCAAAGTTTTTGAGAGAATTTTGTAATCAGTGCATAGCAGTGCCAAGAGACGCCAGTTTTTTAAGTCACACAAGTCCCCTTTTTTGGGTAGGAGAGTTAGCACTGCTCTCCTGCAGCTAAGTGGCAATTCACCATTTTTTATACACTCGTTCAACACAAAGTAAATCCTGACCAATATGATCCCAAAATGTCTTAGAAAATTCCACTGGCAGACCGTCTATTCCTGGGGCACGGCCTAATGACATCTGAAAAGCAGCAATTTTCAGCTCCTCTAATGTCAAAGGGAGGTCCAACATGTCCTTATCATCCAGAGCCAATTTAGGCAAATCTGCCAGTAGAGTGTCCACACAGTCATTATCACACTTATCCGCTTTATACAATTCAGAATAAAATTCTACTGTCCTCTCCTGTATTTCTCTAATATCAGAGGACAGGTGACCATCCGACATGTACAGGGCATATATTTGTTTCCTCTCATTATACTGTTTTTCAAGGTTAAAGAAAAATGAACTAGGAGCATCCATCTCTCTTAGCAACTGGAACCTAGCCCTTACAAGCGCACCTTTTGCTCTGTCTAGAAGGAAGGCACCCATATCCCGGCTCAATTCCTCCAACTGTGCCTGTACGCCTTCCCTATCTTGACCCCCAATTTGTTGCTCTAGCCGTGCTATATCACGTTCAAGAGCTGCTAGTAGGCGTTGTTTTTCTGCTGTGGCAATAAGAGGTGTACTGCTGACAAAAAAGTCTGATTTGGGCCTTACCAACATCCCACCACTGCCGCAAGGAGTCAAAAATCAGCTTTTCTTCCTGACCACCTTGCCCAGAAAGCACGAAAACTAGAGCAAAAGGCAGCATCTTGTAACAGCCTCACATTAAATTTCCAGTAAGCTGTTTTTCTGTGACTTGGTGGAAGAGCCAGGTGTACTACAACTGCACTGTGGTCAGAAAAACAATATAAGCACCAACAAGTCTGTTACAGTAGGAATTTGAAAGATAAAAACGATCCAAGCGTGCTGCGCTCGTTCTACCCTCCACCGTTTTCACCCAGGTGAACTGTTTAACAGTGGGGTGTACAAGTCTCCAACAGTCAACCAAGTTAAAATCTTTAGCTATACTCTTTAAAACAGTTGCAGATAACAAGTGTGGCTCTACCCCAGTTCTGTCCACTGTACAATCCAAAGTACAATTCCAGTCACCTCCCAAAACAAAGATGGCTTCCTTGTTACACAAAGCTAGTTCATGCTTAAGTGTGCTGAAGAATAGTCCTCTATCTTTGCCTACATTTGGTGCATAAATATTTACAAAGATGTACTCCTGCTGATGAATTTTACAGTGTGTTATTAACATGCGACCTTTACAAACTTCTTTGCTTGATATTAAAGAGACAGAGAGAGACAGATTACACAAGATGAAAGAGAGAAACAGAGAGAAAGAGTAAAAGAGAGACAAACAGAGTGAGCAAGAAAGAAAGAGAAATAGAGATAAAAAGAGAGACAGAGAGAGAAAAAGAAAGACTGAGAAAGAGTCAGAGAGACAGAGGAACAGAGAGAGCAAGACAGAAAAAGAAACAGTAAGAGAGAGAGAAAAAGAAATTGAGAGAGGCAGAGACATAAGGAGCGGCAGACACACAGAGAGAAAGAAAGAGGGTGGTACATGTAGTGAAATAACATACATCCTTTTATGCACATCATATTTCATCAGTTGATGTCGAGATTCATCACCAATATGATTTGTATGCACTACTGTCAAACTGCAAAATAAACAAAGAGCAGGCCCTTCTTTTGTCCTTTTTCATTTCATTCTTTCACTGGGAGCAGGAAAACACTAAAATGTGCAGGGCAGCAGGTACTCAAGGACCAGGGCTGGGAACCTGTCCACTAGAGATGTGCCCTCTGATTAATCTTAATATTCAGGTATTCATAACAGTTAATGAATTGATAACTGGTTAACCGTGGGGGAAGAAGAAGAAGAAAGAAAAAAAAAGAAAAAAAAACTTAAAACTTAGACCGACATTAATGTAGGGCTCTAGGCACTTTTTCAGGCAACGACACTTATGGTTCACACAATTCTGCAGCACACAGAGGAATATGTTTGAAAACATATTTTATTATTCTAAAGTAGCAAGGGACATCAGCAGATTTTTGTGTTAGATGACTAATGGAGGCTGACTCACCAGATGAGCTACTGAGCTAACAGAGCTAACCACCACAACGTCTGATTCAGCATCTTACAGATCGTATTTCCTCCTCACTGCACAATTTGCTAACGTTAGTTTGTCAGAGAAATATACAGGGTGTCCCAAAAAAATTGACATCATTTCGTAGTCTAATAACAAATTTTAACAAAACGTGTAAAAACTTTTAATTTATAATTTTTTTTTTCAGGTTGAAGAATGGCGTTCACTAGAAATGAAAAGGCATTTTCTCTGTTAGAATATGCTCAAACACAATCAAACAAGAGTGTGCAGCATGCATTTTTGAGAAAATTCATTAAAAATGCACCAACTGGAAAGCAAAAAATTCAAAGAGGAAGGCTGTCTGTGCAGGGCAAAGGGATCTGGATGACCACCGGTATCGCAAGATATTACATTTGTGAAGCTTTGTGAAATCGGTTATAAAATCTACATCCCTCTGAATTTCTTGTCTGAATTTTGAAAAATAAATCTTGTATTGTTCAACATGAAGCCTATTTAATTTCGTTTGCCTAGGACATGTAGTTACTCAGATATTCACATCTCAAATGATGTCAATTTTTTTTGGGACACTGTATTTTCACAGATTCTGGACTTAGCTTACATCAGCTAGAGCAGCTAGATTTCTTTGCAATGCAGTGAACTAGTTATGCCTTCTCAGTGACGACCTAACCTAGGGTGACCACCCTTTGGTCTTCAAGAAAGAGAGACTAAAAGGCGGCATGGGGCAGACTGTAGAAAACAAATGTAACATGAAAGCAAAGTCAAATTCCAGACATTTTAGGCAATTTAGAAATCCCAGGGGGACATGTTTTAGCTCCCAAAAAAGGGACGTGTCCTGGAAAACAGGGGTGTATGGAAGAGGATGAAGTGGAACTATCCATCTGGTCACAAAAAAACAAAACAAAAAAAAACATGACAGTGAATTGTGGGAGCAGCAATCAGGTAAACTTGTGTTCTTACCTGTCCAAGTTTGAAGTCAGCAAATAACAATGACAAATAAAAGTTGATGTGCTAGCTGGGCGGTGCGTCTCTCTCTAGTCTGACTGTTTCGCTAATCTAGCTGGGCGGTGCGTCTCTCTCTCTCTCTCTAGTCTGTCTCGCTAACTTAGCTGGACAGTGCATCTCTCTCTAGTCTTTGAGAGTGAAATACAGTTATTTATTATGATAAATGCCAACTGGCAATGGTATTTATAAACTGCAGCATGGAAAAGATAACCGTGTTGCACGTAAAGGTGATATGATCATGTGCATGAAATGAAACTCAAGCTTTGCAGCAGCAGTCTCTGTGGAGGTCAGTCCAGACAATATGTGGGTGTGATCTCATATTCATCCTAGGTGCACATAATTTTACAAGACAATGATTATCTAGTCCCTCACTCAAGGTTTAGTTATAGTTTAGTTATACCTCATTCTGTTCTTCAGGTCTACTTATTCTTAGACTGACAGATAGAGCAAACTGTTTTAAAGGTGGGAGGATTGTAGTGGGAGCTCTGGGGTGTTAGGTGTGACTGTGTGGCAAATGCAAATGGTTTACATAGTTCACAGGTCAGGTAGAAGGGCCCCTTCGCAGAACTTTTTTTCAGGCCGCAGGGGAGGTCAGGATCGGCTCTGCTCTTGCACATCCCTATTACAGACATATTTACTATAGGTGTATCAGTGACCAAGTGAGCTTTGCTATTTTTCACATTACCTTTTTCAAATATTGACGATGGGTACAGACTTTAAAGTTTATTCCTGATGTTATTTGGACACATTATCTTGCCTGATTATGGTATCCCAATGGTGTTAAAGTGTACAGTATATGAGTCCTAGACTTTAGCTGCTTTTCATTTGAGAATCTTGATCAAAGTGTCTAATGCATGCATTATGAATGTGCATTATTGTTTACTTTGAAATCACACTATGCACGCACATATAGCCGCACTTTCTCTGTTTTCTGAAACCAGCTTCCTCCTTTATATAACACTCGCCCCCTCCGGTGCCCCTCTAGGGTCTTTATCAGTGGCCTCTGAACAGGATCCAGTCTTTCTTCCCTTCAAAAGCCCCCGACAGGCCAATCTCTGCTGCCATCTCTCTCTTCCTCTCTCTTCTCTCGCTCCCTCACTTCCCCTGGTGGTCTGCATGTTGGCAGGCCGCGGGAGGCAGATGACTTTTCCCCCTCTTTGAAGTGAGTGCGTGAGTGAGTTAGAAAGCTTGAGAGAGAGAGAGAGAGAGAGAGTCACACAGCTAAGACTTCAAACAGCACAGTCGTGACAGAGGACATTTAGGACAGTACTTTTGATCTGTAGTTACTCTCTCTCCCTGTCTCTCGGGCTGTCTATTAAAAGGGTAACTAGATCCAGGACTTGTTTGGGCTACAAGCTTGCTGCTTAGGTCAAAGGTCATGGCAAGGGCCTCATGAAATGGGAAATAGGATTTTAGCTGCACTTTGTATTTAGACAGATTAAGCTTGTTTTAAGGGACTTTACTTTGCACTCAACCTAGTTATCTTCAACTCCAACTCCCAGTGCTTCATCTCTCATCATATGGTTTCAGAAGGAGGTCAGTGGAGTTCATGACTTACGCTGATTATTATAATTTATTCTCATTTACTCAATTATATTTATCAAATACTCAGTCAAGTTGAAAAAAATAAAATAAAATTATGGGCCACGAAACTTGACTGTATTTGCTGTGACAAGCTAACACTAGTTACACTAACTGGCTTGGAACACAGAACACAGTTCAGAAAACAAAACGAGCTGTGAAACGAGTTGCAGGCTGGCTGGAACAAACCGATATTTAGGTTAATCTGGCAAATATTTAAAAAGTTGAGCTGAACCTAATATCACAACAGTTTTATGGCTCCATCCATAACACAAACAGCTACTACTTTTTTGTCAGAAGGAGAAGCCAATATAAAAGCAGATTTGGTACAATGTTCAAGCTTATTTACTTTACTTTTTTCTTCATTTTGCAGAGCAGTTGTATAAAAAGCAATAGAAAAGCTGAAGTCAAGTGTTATCATGAATAACATCACCAAATCACAGCTGTAATGTTTTTTGTGACACCATGCTCCTTCTCATGTTCTATTTCTTAAGTAAAACCTATAAATTAGTGGTTATTAAAGACAGTATCAGTTAGTGATAAACAGATCTCTGCCCACCAGATGAGGCTAATGTTAAGGTCGTGCCTGTTGTGAAAATATTGGAATAAGTTACAAAAAAATGTTTGTGTGCTGTGAACATCCTGAACAACCTCAGAAGCTCCAGATGGTTTTGTGGGAGTCTGCTCAAACATCCTGCATTCAACTACATGAAATACATTACATACATTCTTAGGCACATAAGCACATTGTCTAAAACCACTTATCTGGGCAAAAACTTTTCTGCTTGTAAAATCACAATATTTCATTAAAATAAATGCAAATAAACATTACTAAAGTACAAAGGATTCCTTTTAAAAAAACAAAAAAACAAAAAAAAAAAAACAGTAGTTCATATTTTGTGAGCTAGTTTGAAGAACAAAATTTGACTCCAGATGTATTCTGGAAGCCCCTAGCCAACACCCAATTTTACCATAACACTGAAGCACTGATTAACCAGCTTAGGCACTGGAAAATAACTACAATTAATATGGGGCTTCCTCAGGGAGAAGTATGGAAATGGTTAAACAAACATAATTACACATGTAAAATCACTGCTTACTATATTAATATCATTTGTACATAAGTCAGCAAAGTGTTGAATAAAGTGAACAAATAAATGCTTACTAAAATTGTGCACAGTTCTGTGTATTTTTCTTACCAGAAATGAGTTTAAAGATGACTATTTTTGATTTTGTTATCAAAAGGCACACAGTCCTCTCATCACTGTAGAACAGCCAACACAACGGTGTCCTGGTGAATCAAGTGGAAGAGTACACACTTTCATTTAGCCACTGGAGAGAGGGAACAGAAGAGAGAGAGGTCAGAGGTGAGAACACTCTGCAGGCCTCAAAAGAGAACAAAGAGACAAAACACACACCCACTTAGATTTCTCTTTCTCCACCGCAACATACACACACAAACAAATGTTATGTCCTTTGAACCATGTGCTGTTTTGAACAAAGTAAGACATATAATGTGTATTGGCTTTACTAATGAGACCAGAGGGCAACCACAGCTATATGGCAGTTTAAGAGTAGCACATTCTCAACAATGCATCATCAGTACAGTGACGTCTGTAAAAGACTTCAAACAGGCTGGGGTGGGGCTCAAAGAACATTTATTTTACACCAGTAGAGAGATGGATACAGACTCTAACCCCTATTCTCAACTACATTAATGGCTCAGGGATGGTAGTCAAGAGTAGAACAAAACTTTAACAACAAATAAAATGTTCTTTCTCTACCACCACCTGGAATGGCATTGGTGGAAAGCACTAACAAAACCCAAATGCTCCCACTCTCCACAAAACACATTTTTTTACAAGAATAACACATTATAAAGTACATTCTAGCCACCTTGCTGACCACACTTCCATTTGCAAGTTAATTTACCTCTATAATGCAGTGTCATCATTAATAGGCTTAATAGGTAGAGATGGCGCAATACAACTTTTTTCTGATACCGATAACAATATCGAGTATATTAATACAGATTTCATAATCCTTTACTTAAACTATTATGCTTTAAAATAAGCTACAGTTGAATGCAAATGCTTGGGCACACTTGGCCAAATTACATATTTTGTAATTACATAAGTGAAAAGATGCAAACATAAGCTCTGCAGCAAAATATTTAAAAAAAAAAAACATTTGTATGCAAAAATTAATGCACAGTTACTTTAAATTAGTAATTTATTAGTTAAATTAACAACCCAAAAGAAATAAAATAAGAAAAAAGTAATCATGTTAAAAGTTTGGACACCCTACTAAGTCAGTACTTTGTAACACCCCTTCTGCCAGATACCACAGCTTGTACATGCTGTTTGTAGCCAGCTCTCTCTTCTTGGTTTAGAAATTTTCTCCCACTCTTGCTTGCAGAACGCTTCTAGTTCTACAATATTCTTGGGCCGTCTTGAATGCCTAACACATTTAAGACATACCATACAACAAATGCAAAGTTGAAGCGTTTGGAATGTCCCTATCAGTGATGTTCAAGGCAGGGCACTGTTAGGGACATTCCAAAAGCTTCAACTTTGCATTTGTTGAAGTAGTTCATGGTGGATTTTAAAATATGTTTTGAATCACTGTCCTGTTGTAGAAGACAGCTTTTCAGTTTCAGTTTCCTTCCTGTCTGTGTCACATTTGCTTCCAGTATTTGCTGAAATTCAATGGAATCCATTCTTCCGTGTACCTCTGCAATGTGTCCTGTGCCACTGGTTACCAAAGAACTCAAAAAATAACAGATCCACCCACGTGTGTAACAGGTGGCAAGGTGTACTTTTCTAAACTAAAAAACTAGCACTAAATTATGCTCAATTTTTCTCCAAATAAATCTCTAGTTCTATTTTTATTTCTTCAGTCCACAGCACTTGTTTCCAAAATGTCTCTGATGTAACTAGACGTTGTTTTGCATACTTTTGCATACACTGACTTTCGTGATGAGGCAAGAGGTAAGGTTTCCTTCTGATGACTCTTCTATGACGGCCATGTCTGTGTGGAATGGTGTGCCACCGATTCTGTGTCTTATAAACCTTCTGGCAGGTCCTTTGCTATCATACAGGGGTTTTGCTTTGCCTTTCTGCCAGGCATACAAGCAGTTCTGAAAGTTTTCTAGGTCTTCCAGATCTCGCCTTGACTTCCACAGTTCCCTTTAACTGCCATTTCCTAATGACATTTCAGGCAGAGAATACTGCGCACTTTCCCCTGCTTTGTAGGCATCAATTAGCTTCATTTTTAGATCCTCAGACAGTTGCTTAGGGGAGCCTAGAGTCGTTGAGCCTTAGCCCAAGGTTTGAAGAGTTAGACTTTATTAATGACAATTCTTGACCTGCCTAACAGGTCAATTAAGGCCTAACGAGTTAATTATGATCTGTGACTTGGCAACTGGAAGGTGTCCAAACTTCTGCCCATGCCACAATTCTTATTTTATTGTTTTTAATTGTTTAAGTAAATCAAATAAAACGTTATTGAACATTAACATTTGCTGCAGCAATCGTCTTTTAGCCATTGGTGCCCAACTCTGTATTCACACCCAATTTGTTGGCTCTGCACCACAGTTTGGGTTTTTGTGACAGTGTATCTTTATTTGTTTCAGTTTCAAACTGCAAATATGGGTTTTCTTTGAGCTCTTTGATTTGTCAAAAGTTTGACAGGGATTCAAGTGCTCTGTTACTTACCTAATTTTTATTTAACTTCCAGTAGCCTTTCATAGTGTAAAAACCAATATAATCCATAGTATAAAATCTTTCCCATACTTACATTCTTGATAAAAGGTATTATTATACCCGAAACCTTAGTTAATCTCATTGGCAAAAACAAAATGGTTTGCTATTACTCGTCTGATGTTATTAGCAGAAGCGTGTGCTGCAAGAATGACATGAGTCTCTGTCAAGAGTCAAGCATTAAGCAGATGGATCATGTGGACAACAGCACTGATGTGAAATGAGTGTTAAATTCCCTCATTTGGTGTGGACCATCATAAAACATGTTTCAACCCACAGCAAACTTGGAAGCAGATCGGAACCCATGAGTGTTCACATCTGCCAAATCGACCCGAACAAAAGAAAAAGTCTGATTGGTCTGTGCCAAAAGGGTTAGATGTGAAAGTGCCCTGAAACAATCCATTACTCCACAGGAAGAAATACACTGCTGACATCACACAGAGCGAGTGAGTGCTATTTCAAGTTAGATTTGTTACAGGACTGGATCAAATTCATTAATTTTTCCCTCCAATATCCAATCCAGCATTTTTGGGTGAAATTCACCTGATATTGTAACATGGAATCGATGTCATTGCTATCTCATTTAATAGGGAAATGGTTAACCTGGCGTAGAGGCCCGCAAAAGCACACAAGTTCTTAGAGGCATTTCAATATGTTTCTTTTAGACATACTTATCAAAATCACAAGTCTCTCAACTCCTGATCTTGCTGTTTTAACTGAGTCATCTGCATTTCTCCTGCATTTTTCATAACACTTCTATGTAATGTATTTAATAATTTATAGCATTTCAATTAGTTATCTTTTGTTCTTGTTATAGTTCATTAATTCTTACTGTGACAAACAAATGTCTACCGGTCTCGAACAACAGTGTTCCTCTAAGAGCTTTTGATTTTGTATTACAAGTAAAACTTCATAAACGTTGTATTGCATCCTGCTGTGGTTTATCATTAGTGTATCACATATCAAGCATTCTATCACAAAGTATCTGTTAATACATGACTGAGTGTTTGATACACAGTCACCAGTTTCACATACACAGCCCTGCAAGTCTCAGATCTGTTTGGACAGCAGATGAATGTGGTGAATAAACAAGCTACATTTCCTGATACTAATGCAGTTAAAAGCCCTATAAAAGACAATAGCAGACCAATAACTGTCATCGCTTAAAAGCTGCCACAAGCAAACACTCAGGGATAGTTTGGATATATTTGCTTTCTGCTAAAAGTGTGCGTGTGTTCACTCTGTGAACATGTCTGTACAGGGTGTGTCATATGCGTGTTCAGGAAGAGTCTGCTAATAAAATGAGCTAAAAGGTTTTTAAGGGGAAGTGCGTGTGAGTGAGTGTGCGCCTTTGTTTAAATGTCTTTGTGTGTGGTTTGTATCAGTGCTTTTGGGGATTGTGCCTGTATGTTTGTCTCTTCTGTAGCTGTCTTTTCTGCCTCGCTGTTTGCCTTTGGGCCTCTAAAGCCACTTGTGCAAGTATCCTGTGTGCGTGTTTATGAATATGGCTTTGTGTCTTGTGCTCCACACTAACTGAAGCCGACAGTTCACTCTTCCTCAAAGGCTAAAGCGATACCTCACCCCTCAACTCAATATCTCTCAACTCTACAGAAGACCACTGCATAACTCATAAAGACCTGAAATCTCAGACAAGACGAACAAGTGGAGGAATGTACAGGAGAGCTTACACTGAGGAACATAAATGACATTAAAAGGTAATGGAGGAAATCTGAAGTTGAACGTGTGGGGAAACTGTCATGACAGCTCAAATGGAACAGCCAAACAGGTTCAAGGTTATGAAAAGGTTTTCTGTCAAAAAAGCACTTTGGGAGAAAGTCAATAAAGGGAATAATGGTGGGAAAAAAGTGGTGGAGAGAACGACACAGAAAACGAAGAAAATCTGAGTCAAAGCTACAGAACAGAAACTACTGACCAACTGTTGAAGACACAACCATGTTACACTGAATGGTTCATTTCAGCAAAATACATTAACCACTAAACATTCCAACATTAACCAAGTGGGCCTGTGTGGCTGAGAAAAATATGATGATATTAATTTCAAATGTTCTATCCATATTTCACCCACAAAATGTTTCATTATAACCAGGCATGCATCAATACCATGTTTTTAGAGAGAGTACGAGTGAGTGCATTTTTTTAAGTACTTGCCGACACTGATTCCAATACCATACTGAGTAACTTGTTTAGAATTAAGTAGTTGTTAGTGTAAATAAGTGCAATGTACCTTAACAGTTAAATCATTAAAATCTAGCTGATTTCAAATGATTTGCATTAGCTGGGTATGCTATCTAAGTTACTCTGGATCGAGTAGCATTGCAGTGGAGAAGAGTGGGGTTTGTTCCATGTCAGAGAAGCGCTTCTGTATAGATGTAAAGAATGTTTCATAGTTTTGATCCTATGCTCCTCATTTCTCTCTTTAAACCACAGCAGCACAGTGACAGCAGGAACAACATCCAAAGCATCCGAAAGATCATTTGTCAAGTTTTGTGTCTTGTTGGAGTCTTTTTGGATGGTTAGTTGGTTAAGTTGCTGCTGAAGTTCTTCTAAATCATTATATTACAGTTTATGCTTCGCAATTCTTTTCAGTCAAACAGAGTAAAGTTGGCATATATGGACTTTGGTAGCAAATGTCAACTTTTTTTGTACACCTTGGTTTGTTAGCTTACAAGTCCCTACCTGTACTGCATGTGTTTAGAAATGGGCTAAAATTGCACAGTGTATGCCTGTTGGGAATTTGCCAAGGCAGGATGTTTAAAGTGACCAGCGACTTGGTGTCCAACTGCTACAGCATCCGACTGCTTTCTTTGTGCAAGCAGACCCTCATTCACAGCTAGCGTGAGTCGTTTGTTCATTAGCACAGTAGTGTACACTAGGCTTACGTCACATATATCAGGTGGGATTAGATGTCGGTATCGATGCCTTATTATCAGGACAAGTACAAGTAGATGAGCCTTGAATTGGGCCAATAAAGGATACCAGTATCAGTGCATTCCTAATTGCAACTGTTGCCAAGTTGGACAAGCCTTACAGAATTTTTAGGCCTGTCACAATCACTAAATATTCTCAGACAATTGACTGACATACAAAAAAAAAAAAAAAATATTTCTTCAATGTATACAACTATTAAAATACAAGCCTAAAGTTGCCAAAATTGGCTGATCAGGTATCTTTCTTCCTAGCTGTTCATGCTTAGCAGCTCTGAACTGATGACAGAAACAGCTGGAACTCAAATAAACAATCATTACTCACTGCTGTCTTCTAAATGTGTTAGTCAGAAGTTAAAACTTTTGTAAACCCGTAAGGCCCATCATGTGTCTCAGTAAATACATTTTCTGTTTGCTTTCATTTACATGCATTTGTCTCAACACAATGGATGAAACAGCACCCACACATCACATTGTGTTTGATGCGATGTAAACATATGACTGTGAAAACTAACAACTGTGGAAAATAACTGTGGTCAGCTTAAAAAGCCCATATCCTTTCTTGTAATCTATACCCTGAGGTCCATTTATGTCCGTTTGTGTAGGTTTGTGCACTGAAAACAGTCATAATTCATTTTTACTTGACCATTTTCTAACCTCTCTGTACACAGAATTAAACATACTGTTTTTGTTACTGTGCCTTTAAGACTGATATATATACAAATGACCTCGGTTTTGACTGGCTGCCCTGTATTGTGTGTTATTCATTAAGCAGTCTAGGCTGAAACACACTGTACAACTTCAGCAAAACTGAGTGGGGCTAAACTGCTGTAGGCTGAATAGAAGTATATGTAAATGAACTGGTTTTCTTGCCATCACAAGAACAATGAATATAAGGCAGGCTGCTTTTGCAGTTTAGTTTCCTTATGTAGACTGTATGGTCTGGGGAGTGAATGGTTTATTTTAAAACTTTGTCAACAGGAAACACTAATTTTAAAAGGCAAGGAATTTTTTTCCAAGATAACGGCCCTTTAAATAATTGCAGTAAGACCTATAAGTGTTGGCAAAAATTCAATTCAAGCTAATGAGAAATTGTAGTGCTCAGTTTTTGCCAAAGTGCACAGTTTTAGATTGTTTTCATTTCATATCATATTTAGTTTGCATAAACTGAACGAATTAAAGCATTCAGCATCACTTATCATTAGCATCAGTTTACTAACTTTTCACAAGCTCGCTGTTTTCGAGCTGAAAAAGGCTAAGATAGTGACGTTAGCTGAGGTAACAGACCATTTGCATATGTCTGTTTATCTACAACACTAGCTGCCTTTCTCTGTTTAAATATCACGCCACGTCTGATCTACTGTGGTTTTCTATGGACTCAATATGGCTTCAATTTAATGTAGTAAGGGCAAAATGTTGAGTGTTGTGCTGTGACACGCTGAGGGATAGAACAGTGCCGGTGTTGTGCCAGATTCCGACTCTCCTTCGCTTGCACACACATCCCGCAAGCATATGGACGCTACAGATCACAGTCATGATGATTTCAGTTGTTTCTATGTGTAAATAACAGTTAATCTTGAATTTACCTTCACAGTAAGCACCAGAACAGTACCTAAAGCCAAACAAAGAGTCTCACAGTGATAGTTTAATTAAATGTAACAAACTAAAGATGTTGGTTGTCGTCGCAGAATTCGGGGGACTGAATGTCTTACAGTCATATCGATAAGTATTATGAGAACATAGTTTAAAGTTGTGCGTACCTCCATTAAAAACAATGCTTTTGAAATTTTGGATGGTCGATGGCCTTTACAGAAGGCAGTTTTGCATGCTCAAGATATGTAAAGATATGTGAAATATCGGATATCAGCACCGGCCATCATGAACGTGCATAATATCGGTTATCGGCATTGGTTCAGAATTCCTATATCAGTGCATCTCTTGTAGCAAACTCTAGCCTAAATTCATTTGGCTGAAAACAAACATTTCGCCAAACTTTGATAAAGCTTCTATAATGCCCAACTTTGCAACCGTTGTTAGTAAAGAATCCATTCGTGGGCAGAGCATGGATAGATCAATTGTTCTTTATGAAATTTTGACACAATGTTAAATGGTAGCTGGCATTGTCAAATCATTCAAAGAAATTACAATGTCAGAAATGGACATAAGGTTTTGTTTGACAGCATATGCTGACTTCATTAATTTAATAGAAATATGCAGCATAACATCATAAGCATTTAAGCAGCATAAAACCATTTAAGTGAACCAGCAGCCTACAGTTGTGTGCCACGCATCAATACATTACATCACATTTGGCTATGAGGAGGCCACTGTTTGGCACTGCAGCACCTCATGCTCTGAACTTCCAGCAAGCCATTCGCACACTGAATTTTGACCTGCCTTCATTTGTTATGTAAAGCTTTGATCACTTTCTTCATGTTGCCACACCTTGTTGTCTGCACACACACACACAGCATTTGATACAAACACTCCCACACACAGACAAAAAGAGCACAGCAGGCGTCCTCAGTGTGAGCTTCATCTGCTGCTGTGGGGGAGGCTGAGTGTTTTGAGAGCACAGTTAAGAAAGAAACCACTCTTGAGGTTTTAAGCGCAAAACCAAAGGCTTGTCTGGCAGGAGCTACTAGGACAGAGAGAGACAAAGCGCAAACAGCACACCTTCCTCAGCCAACACTGCTGAGCACTCGGTGTTACTAGAGGAACTGTGTGTGAGCTTGCTTGTATGCGGACATGACAAGACCACTTTCTCTTTCCTGATATCAATACTGAAACCTTGAGTTTCCTCTGATATGATCTACTATTATTTTTATTTAAAAATTACTAAGTATCAAATTGAGTCATTGTTAATTAAAGTACTTCCCCTAAGATCTAAAAGTACCTTGCTCAAACTGCTCACTCCACAACCTTACAGGAAAAAATACATACCCAACAACATGACTAACACAAAAAAGACTTGGCGCTTAACCACACGTCACTTTATGCCAAAATGAGAGATGGTGTCTATAGTCATACTACTATAAACATATAAATGAACATTTTACGGCACAATTTCTTGTTTATTTGCTAAATTTAACATTTTGGAAACAAAACAGTATATACACACATTTACACATGTATATTTTTATTTAAAAAATGTAAATGTTTAAACATTCTTAAAAACATTTAATGTTTATTTTTTGTATATAGTAAATTCATCAGCAGGAACTGTGAACTAAAATGAGGAGTGTGTTTAGAGGTTGTTAAGTTATATTCACTTAGAAAATCAACAAAGGTAATTTGACCAGGGGTTCCCAAACCTTTGCAAACTACTAAGCTGTTTTTGTAAAAGCACTGTGAGGAACACATTTGTGTTCACAAAACACTCAACGTAAAAACTAACCATAACAACGTTGTTACCAAGTACACCGCTCTGTGATTTTCTGAACAGCTACTTTTTTCACTTATTGGAAGAGTTCCACTCTGATGAAATAATCAATGGTCACCATGGGTTCAGACCACCTTTGCAGCTGCTTTTCACAGGACTGAAAGTAACACATGCTGCTGTATAGCATGAACACAGCCTTATTTAGGCAAATACTAGTGATGATAGAAACGAGAGAGTCAGTCTTGAAAGTTCTGATTGTATTTGAGCCCTGGTGCCTGAGGCAGAGCTATCTGGCTCGAAACAAGGAATATTTATTCTGGGTTCCATAAAAGAGTGTTTTATTAATAAAACAGTCTATATAAAATTCCACTGCCTTCTCACAGCAATGGGCCTGCTGGTACTGGATGAGTTTGCAAACACACAGAAAATAAGAATGCACTTTGGTGTAGTGTAATAGTAATGTGACTGCGATCATGTGATCTTTTAGAGGCCTGGTCTCCCAGCTGCAGTCTGTATAACTCCCTCCCTTTTAGTGTCTATTCTCTGCCTCTAAACACCACCTACCACACATGGCAAAACACAAAATATATTACTGCAGTAGTTCAGACATAATTTAAAGGAACTTTAAACAGTCCACACTGGCACTGCAATGTGCACTTACCTTCCACAGCCTGTTGGTGGCATTACCAGACTTCTCTGCAAAATGCACAATTAATGAGTACCAGGCAGCGTATGTGTTTGTGTGTATGTCTGAAGGGATTACATTCTCACACTGGACTTTATCCTCTGTTTCCTGCTGAACTTTGCAGATCAATCACATTCTAAGTAGTGAACAAGTTTATCAGGGCCAACTGACCTCTGACCTTGTAAAGGTCTTGGGATAGCAGGGTCAAAGTTTACTGCTGATACATGCACACCACACAAATCCTGTTTACATGCACACACAGAACACATGCATAATCTAACTCTCACACACACAAACACACTCCCACCATGGAAGTGTATGATAATAAGTGGTCTTCTGCGAGTTGCAGGGTGAATGCTGTAATGTGAGGAATGCCCCCAGTGGAGAACGGGGAGAAAGAGATGAATCAGCTGCAGCAGGTAAAACAAGATACCTGCTGAAACACAGGATGAAATACTGTCATCCCTCAAACTCTTGCCTGGTTTGTCTTTGTCTGTCTCTCTCTCTCTCTCTCTCTCGCTCTCTCTCATCAAAGCAACATCGCTTTGGTTAAGCAGTCTCTCCTTTGATCCCTGTCTGTCAGGACCCCTGGGGGACGCGGGACTGCCCTTTTATCTGCCTGACTACTGGGTCCTTTCACAGAGGAGAGCAATAATGCGATTAACCATAATGCTCAGCAGAGAGAGAGAGAGAGAGAGAGAGAGAGAGAGAGAGAGAGAGAGAGAGAGAGAGAGAGAGAGAGAGGGAGACTATAGAGGCATCAAGTACAATATACTGTACAATTCCAACACAGTCACACTATGTCTTTGAATTGAATGCAGTAATCTTTAATTGGTACAGTACTCTGTAAAAGTCAGAGACCACCCTTTCATTTAATTAACTTCCAGTCAAATGGCTATTAAGTTCAAATTATTAATTTTTTTCAGTATCAGAAAAAAGGAGAAAACATAGAATTACACAAAAGTCTTCAATACTACGGGTAAATCTATCAAATCTATCCATATTTAATTAGTCCACTCTTTACTTTTGTGCACCTAATGCAACTTTAACTCTTCCATCCTTCCAATCTTAAAATTAACCACTTACAGCTGCATCCTTCCAGCAAAAGCTGTTCCCAAAAGAGTCACTGGCATTATCTTCCCCTTCAAAGATACATTAACTTAACCAAACACACCTCAGCTGCCTTGCAAACAAGTGAAAAACAGGAGTTCCCAAAAGTGAAGATTGAAAATTATTTAAGGACACAGAGAAAAAGACCTGGTAGACCACCCAAAACTGTCACAATCAGATAAACAATAGTTAAAGCTTTAATCTTTGAGGGGAACATCAAGCAATTTTTTGTTTCCTTTTCTCAGTAACAGCTTCAAATCTGAAAAAAAAAAATCTACAGGTGTTTCTGTCCATCCTTCCACTGTGAGAAGACAACACAGCACTAAGCTGTTACTGAAAAAAGACAACAGACAAAAAATTTGCTATGTAACACCAAAACTGGACATCTGAGATGTGAAATAAGGTTTTATGCACTGATGAGTCTAAATCTGTAATTGTGATCACTTAGCAGAAAGCAGAAAATGTAACCGACTTCTAAGACTGAACTGTAGAAGTGTGGAAAATCATCCCTGCAGATGTCTTTGAAAAAAAGAAGTTTTCTGAAAAGAATGGAAGCTGTAGTAAAGGTAAAACATGGACACACTAAATACTGAAAATGATGATATATTTAGTTTTTAGTTTGATATATTTTAGATTATATTACATTTCTGTTTAGTAATTTTCTGTTAAATGTATGTTTCCTGTTTTTTCCTGACAAGGACACACAAAACATTCTTTGGCTACAGAGGGAACTGTTTATCTAAGACCTTGATGGATATTTTACAAATGCTATTACTACATTTACTTAATGAGCTGAACAAACAAACCTTTACACAATGTTCCCTGACTGAATTTGGCAGTAATGTTGGCATGGGGTGATTCGAGTGTGGTTAAATCAGAGCTTTGCTTTGCATTAATTACCAGAGGAAGCTGTGTGACTGACAGCCAACACAAACACACACACAAAACAAAGAAAATGTGTTATTTTGATGAGACGTAGAAAATAACCTCTAAGCCTTTTCAAGTGCATATAGAAGTCTAATCTGCCTGGTTGTGCTGATGTGTCTGAAGGCAATTAAGACCGAGACAATATGGTTCCAGGCAAATCACTTACTTCCTGTACCTGCCTGTGTCAGGATACAGAGACTCAGAGAGAACCAGAGAGCATGAGAGAGAGAGCGAGAAAGAGAGGAGAGAGAGAAAGAGAAAGAGAAAGAGAAAGAGAGAGAGAGAGAGAGAGAGAGAGAGAGAGAGAGAGAGAGAGAGGCGAGGAGGGACAAAAAGAGGAGAAGAAGAGAGAGCAAGATTTAAGATGGATTTAAGATATGTGTGTGCATATACTTCATCATTACATACATCATGTCTATATGTATGTGTGTATAAATGTATGAGAGATAAAGAGAGAAGAGGAAGAGACGGGAGAGGGAAAGGAGAGAGAGAGGAGAAAGAGAGCGAGAGAGAGAGAGAGAAGAGGAAGAAGGAAGAAGAGATGGGAGAGGGAAAGAAAAGGAGGAAGAGAGGAAAGAGAAAGAAGAGGGAGAAGGCGAGAGAGAGAGAGAGACAAACGGACAGAGAAAGAGTGAGAAAATAGGTTGAGAAAACAAGTTTAGACCTGTGCCATATTCATCAGCAGACATGATCAGATATCATCTTTTTTTGACAGAAAAAAAGCACTTTAAACTGCTCACAGTCTTCCACAGAGAAGCTTCTCTCTGCACCAGAGTAGCATAAAACCATATTCAAATAGATGTATTTTTACATCAGCAAAATAATTACTCAAGTAAAAGTATCTTTCCAAAACACAGATTCAGCAGTAGCATAAAAGTAGCAGGTCAAAAAAACTACTTAAGTACGAAGTAAGGTATAGAAAGGCGGCATGGGTTCGATTCCCGGCCGGGTGACCAGGGTCATTTCTGTGTGGAGTTTGCATGCTCTCCCCGTGTCTGCGTGGGTTTCCTCCCACAGTCCAAAGACATGCAGTCAGGCCAATTGGACTTGCTAAATTGCCCCTAGGTGTGTGTGAATGTGTATGTCTGTCTGTCTGTCTGCCCTGCGATGGACTGGCGACCCGTCCAGGGTGTATCCTGCCTTCCGCCCAATGACAGCTGGGATAGACGCTAGAACCCCACTGCAACCCAGAAGGATAAGCGGTTTAGATGATGTGTGTGTGTGTGTGTGTGTGTGTGTGTGTAATGTATAGAACTAAAAGGAATTTATAGCAGTAAGATTTCTCAGCACATCCAGCACCTCTTAACAGAGTAAGTGAAGTTTGAGGGTAAAGGTGGAAAAGAAATTGATACAATATAATATTTTGGGGTTAAAAATAGTATTGATAGGTCTAGGCCCCAGTATTGATATCTTTATTGAATGGTTATTCATATTTCGAATGTGTGTTCATTAGGGATGAATAAACATTCTAGCCATTTGTAATCTCTGTTCACCTCAAGAGAAGGTTCACTGCTAAAGGACTTCTCCATAAAAGGTTTGATATTCCTCAAAGAGACGACATCCTGCTCAATATGCAGAATACAGCAAAACAGAAACAGAAAGAAAAGTCAGTGTGAGCTCACTGACAGCATCTGTAGCCTCATTTAAAAAAAAATGCAATCAGCAGTCAAAGTGCAAAATTCATTGTGTTGGATGACCAACCATTCTCTGTTGTTGAGGACAGAGGATTTCAAAGATGTATTTAAGTGTGGTAATCAGAAACACCACTGTAATGTACCAATAAGAGTAACTGGTTCAGACATCTAACTTTACATTCATCTTCCATTGTAATTTGCTGTGGATAAAAGTATTTGTTACATTTAAAAAGGATAAAGTCAGTTTTGAATATTTGTCTACGTCACCATTAAGTCAACAGATTCATAATTTTCATTAGATAAAGTTTTCTTTTGGAGGGATAACTTAAAGTCAAAAGTTCTATATCACAATACTTTGCTTGTCCTTAAATATAACAATCAAAGTGTCACTGATCAGGTATTGTGGAAATATTGTATTGTGGCCTCTAGAGATTCCCCACCCTACTTACTTCTCGTTGTAGTTTCGAAGACTCTTGGTCTACAATAAAATAATAAACATAAAGATTGACATGTGTCAGCATTTATAGTACTAATGCCGTCACCAAAGTAACAAAAAATCCAATATAAAATAAATTAGTAACTTTATTAGAAGTCGTCAAAATGTCTTTTAAAAATACTCAGGAAAGCAGAAACCTATCAAACGTTTACTTGAATACATGTAAGTGAGTAAACGTCACTCTGCTCTAATGCAAAGCACTCAGTGATCCTTCTCGTCTTATATCCTGGTTATAGTAAGTGAGAAAGTCTAACAGCTGTTAACTAAAGCTCTGGAACATATGGCTTATGTTCACTGAGTGACAGCTCATACTCTTCCACTCTTCTTGTCTCTGTGCCAATATTGCACCTCTATGGTCCAGAGCTCTGGCACACGCTCAAATCCTGATGTTATCTGAGGCAGCACAAACAGAAGGCAGGGCATTTATTCCCCCTCAGCCAGCTCATATCCCACCCCCACCGCACCACCAGCTTGTCTATTCCCATCTCACCCCCCTTCTCCTGCGCTTCCCTCAGGGGCGCCTTCAGAAATCGCAGGATTCTTTTGGCCACCATGGAAAAGCAGCAGTAGATACGTGCCTCAGTGATGTCCGCCCGTGTTCAAACTTGGAGAGCGTGATGGCATTCGGAGGAGATGAAAGAAAGTAGGCAGAGATGAAAGAAAAGAGAGGGAGACAGATACAGTTTGTTTTTGAGCCGCTGTCATGCCATGGGAGCAGGCGATTTAGCTCCGGCGTTACAAAAGGATTAGTTAAAATCACTCAGATTCTAACGGGATTATAAGTGTTCTGCCATTTCCATTGTGTTCTCTAGCTGAGAGCCTGAGGCTACTCCCTAAGAGAAAACACAGGGTTTGTGAGAAGTGAATTACACAAAATAAACTACAGTGTACAACAAATGAGTTGAATTTCAGGAGATAA